TTATTTGCTGCTGTTCACATAACTTACCACCTAACCCAGGAGAGAATCACCGAGTGGCCCTTGGTAACTTCATGTTCGAAACTTCGAAACTAGCGTTATCAGGTCGTCAATGCTCCACCGCCCATACATCATCAGCAGGGTCCTAAGAGATTCTTTCCTACACAGCCAGCAAAAAGGGAACAGCAGAAACTGGGTTAATATGCTTACTAATGCCTGGTATGGTCCGAAGGCCTTAAAGTAAAGCCTGCCGCTTCCCGGAACTGGTTAAAACAGTGAGGCCATGTAACTCTACTTGCATCATACCACAGCTTTGCGCCAACATCCATTATCTTATCTGCTACAACATATCCACTCGAACAGTCCCGACGAAAAAAATTCCACTCGGTGCTAACACAAGCACTCATACCGACTCTGGCTTACAAAGCTAAGGCTTCCCACTTGTATTCGGGGGNATTTTACGCCTGAGTAACGGCGTCGTGAAGGGCCACAGGCTTGGCAGTCGGCTCACAGATGGCTAATTCCTAGTACATTCCTAACCCCAGCATTAAGTCAATTAAAAAATCTAATGCCCTCATGGGGAACCTAACTCGTAACCTTCGGGCTTGTAGCAATACCTTAAGCAACTACTTAAAATAATGTAATTTATAAATAGCAGCAACCAGAAATTCGAGTGAAAAATGTTATATGTCAAGGCCGAGTATTCCAAAATTTACCTCTTTACATCTTTCAACGGTTACACAGCTTACCAAACATCAAGAAACTATGCCACTTTGCCCCACACAGTTTCAAGTCTTGTATGATTCTCAGTGTGAAATTTCCCTAAAGCGTATTACACGGCCATCATACTAAGACGCGGTGTTTACTGTGAGATACGTATGTAAACGTTTGGCCAGAAAATCTATGCTTTTGACTACGTGTACATCGACAGGCCTACGTATTTTCATGCGTACGTCTATTTACGAGCCGACAAATTAGTCCTAATTAATCGAAAACGGACGTAATGGCCAGTTATTACAATGTAAAGACCGTGACTGACTAATCCAAGCCTTCTTGCATACTATGTTCATATTATGAACAGTGTTAAATCACATATGACGTCACTTGAACACACAGGACACGCAGGAAAACAAGCGTTGCCATATACTGTAAATTCTTGTGCGCGCTACGTTGCCATGTCTCAAACGTCACATGCTGACGCTACAGCGTTTATTGCATCGTATAATAATTGACTGTAAATCTATATTTAGGCACACACTCCTAAGGAAATGAATTTCCGGTATGCTTGTTTCCTTGCGAACAGGAAATTCCTTTCAGTAACGTGAATATCCACTACCATACAACAGGGTGGCACAATAATGCCCTTGATTCTGTGCTGCAAAGACAAGTGGGCAGCTGTAAATATGAAACAGCGACTAAAAGGTGGTAATTCACGAACTACACTTACGATCATGCCTTTACAAAGATAATTACGAACAGAGATATTAAAACCAGATACTTATGAAATAAGTCCTTAAAAATCTCAAACGCTACTTCGTCATTAGAAGAAATTATATAACATTAACAAACCTAACCTTACCAATGCTTGATAGGCTTTTACACAGTTTACAAACAAAAAGTACACAGGCACTCAGTCAAGGCGGTTACACTTCTAATACGTGCAATCGGGCGCTGCACGGTTGGAATGACAACCAGGTCCATCCCGTTTTCGTGGTTTTCCTCAGTCCCTCCAGGCAAATGCCGGGATGTCTCAAATTAGGAAACGACACCTTGCTCAGTCGATTAACCAGTCAACCAATTATACGATGCTGCACTGCGCGAGTAAAGTTATGAAACACAACGAACAAAAGGGACTACATATTCAGAAACTTGGTTACTGTATCGTTAGTTAACCAAGGGGAGGCCACAGTTTTGCATGCAAATTACATTTCCAACGCCCTGTTGGCCTGTAACCTACTCACTGTTCACTTTAAAATATACGAAACTATTAAACTTGCCTAGTGCGAGTGTGTGAAACTTGGTATCTCATTTAACAAAACAGAGACCGCAGGAGTTGGATACTGGGTAAGGTGGACGAAGACCGCCTCCGTGGTCCAGTAGTCAGCGTTCCTGACTAGAGCCAAGAGGTCCGGGTTCGATTCCAGGCGCTACCAGATTTTTGGCCGCGCCATACCTCAAGCAGTTAGTCGCTGGCTTCCCATCGCGGCGGCCCGGGTTTCATCCCGGGTCTGGTCAAGTGGCATTTGTGGCGGACAGAGTGGCGCTGGCGCAGGTTTTCTCCGAGTACTTCGGTTCCCCTGCCAATCTTCATTCCACCAATTGCTCCACAGTCACCCTCACGTATCACCTGGGGCTGGTACAATAGACCAGAAGTGGCCGCAGTACAAGGGACTTAGTCCCACCCCACTAGCAAAAAAAAAAAAAAAAAAGTGGACGAATAATTGTCGAAAATTACATACCATAATTTGTACGCCTGCGGACTGCGATTCCTATGTATCGGTACGGGCGTCAGTCGGGGGGGGGGTCGTAATCACGTTAAAAATTAACACAACCATCGAGCTATTTACGTTAGATACAGAAACGGCTGCGTTTGTTAAGTTGCAATCATGTGTACTCCAATTTGCATTGCGTAAATAATCGTTAAGTCCGATATGTTTCACGTAATTTTTACATTGTAAATAACAAGTCACTTAAAAATGGATCTAACCTAACCAAACGTAATACTACCCACTTAGAATAGAAATGATTTTTGTATCGTGTCTGGTATAATGAACAAGTCATGCAGCGTGTTGCAGCATTCCCGCAGCGGTTTGGGCGTCCATACATTCATTAAAACTGGTAGCAACAGATTGTATCCCTGTATTTACTCTAACGGCAATTATGTTCCTAATATTTTGGGGGCGATTTTTACTGACTACCCCACTGCAACCACAGAATTCTAGCCAACTCTCTGCCCGTGGAGTTAACATTCGTATTAAGACCTGGTTTAACCCTCACAACTACAAATGACTTGCAGCTACATCCCCAGCTCCTCCTGCATGCCGTAACAAGTGCTTACGTAAATGAGCACTTTCGTCCTTGAAGATTTCGGTTCGGTTCCAGCCCATGACGAGAATCGATAAATATGCAACCCAATTATTAGTGGCCTCCTTCAATCCTTCTGGGGAAATGCCCCAACGGTAGGCCACAACCGCTCCCTTCCAAATGCTTTCGAATTCGCCAATTCCGCCATTCAGTGAGACGTACAGCAGTTTGTTTTAATTGCCGAAAAATTCTTTAGGCCAATTGCCTGTACGTTAATAACCGGTACAGCGACTGGCTATGGGCTAGACAACTGAGGGTTCTGAATTCAATTCCCGGTGGGGGCAAAAATTTTCATTACTCCATGTCGTTCAGACCGGCTCTGGGGCCCACCCTCCGTATCTATTGGTACCCTAGCCTCTTCTTCGGGCGTAAAGCTGGCCACTCACCTTGAACTAGTGCGAGTGTCACGAAGACGTGAGTCTATACATCCACTCCCCCATACGTCTTCACGTGGTGGTGCTTAATTACTCAAGCCCAGGGCAAACTTTACATTTTACCTATACAGTCGCCAAAATACTCCCGTGTATACTGGTTGAAAATCGAGGTACATTACGGGAGCCAACCCGTTCCCCCCAAAACTTTCGCACTATCCACATGCACGACAATACCAAGGATTCGGGCTTCCGTTTTATAACGCAGTGTTGTTTGGTACATGTGCACCAACGCTGCAGAAAATTGGGAAACAAATTTATATTCTACGTGACGCCGTGGAGTTTGACAGACGTATAAACAAGGGTTGAGGCAGAATCTACCGCCTCAAATCAGGATTAAAAAACGGGGACATCAAATTTCTTCAAAATCATTAACCAAGCAGACATTTTCAGCCAGTGTGTAGCTGAATTTGCACGTCCGAACATTTCGGAGAATCTGGAGCCTCACAGCACATTCAGGCAAACACGGCCCTTCCGAGACTATCCACAATCGCATTGTAAAAGACACGAGGCCGTCCTGAATTACGAGTAACAGGCAGTAAGCCCAGACCGTGTGAAATCTGAATTCTACATCACTCAATTCCACCAGCCCACTCCTCTCTGAAACACACTTAACAGCCATAAGGTATGTAATCCTTCGGGCATGCTACACTTCAACGTTTGTTCGTCTGATACTGCAGACTGGATGTAAGCATGCGCCCATAGCTGACCTGCGAAGTTGTGACAGTGGTAGGATGGTAATGAATTTATGTCGGGGCAAAAGTCATTCGATATGACTTTTCTTTCATCTCTCCATGCTCCATTTCCTGAAATAACTCTCTCTTTTCTAGCCGGCTAATAGACGCCCTCTTCTGCTTTTCTCTCGTGGCACACAATCCTACTTTACCGGCACGTAAAGGCAACTCTTCACCTGCCGTGAAAGCGTCACTACTCTCTAGAACAAAAACATCGTACCACACTACTGGGCCGGTTGGGCCCACACTGAGAAACGGGATTCTCAATTACCAAAAACCTAAACAACCCAACACTATTGAGCACGATACAATAAACTGTCTCCATAAATGCAGTTCACATTTCTTTCATTCAAACAGAGCCCTTTGATGCATACCTGTCAGAAACACAAAATCGGCCTGTTTCTTTCGAAAACTTCTAAGGGTATTCGTATTAAATCAGGGTGCACACTATGCTAGTGACTATTTCTCCCCCTTTCATCCCTGATATGTGAATGTCTTGGCACCACCACCTACCGAATCCTTAGCTACACCTCATTTACTAATCACTCCCAAACAAAGCTTAAACAGCCCTTCCCCTCCCCCCCCCCAATAAAAACACTAACCTTTACCCATACAATAATACTATGTCTAAGAAACACTCATGCATAGGCGAATTAGTCTTTCAACTGAAGACAGGGTTTCCTGAAATAAAAGACTTCAAACATTCACTAGTAACAGTCCGCAAACAACCATACACGTTGGAAAATATATTTACCTGATTATATACTATGTCTCCAAACTCGTACAGGGTTGATGTAGACATTACTGCCGCGGACATGATGGAATTAAATAAAAAATGCAGAAAATTGGGAAACAAATTTATATGAAAACCTTATTACCAAAATTATCTTCTTTGCACTTATGAAACTTTGTAACTTCGAAGATCAACGTTAAAAATACAATAAAACAAAACACTTCACCACTAAACAGTCTTCCCGTTTTTAAACCCGAAGTGCAACGCAGTGTCGCTACTGCGCAACTCTCTCTGTACCCATTCGTCCACCAGCTCCTAAGCCTTACTGCGCGGTTGCTGCGCACTCCTCTCCGTGAAAACGTCCTCGGACCGGAGTAGTGGGGAAGCGACAACCAATAGCAGAGCATTTACGTCATAATGTAGTCGGGACCTTTCTGGCACAGATCATAAGATGCAACGATGAACCCCTCCCATCTCTCTTCGTCTCTCCACAATGGTAATAACTTTTGATTTCGTTCACGTCAGTTGCTGCGTCTGTTTCTCTTTCGTCTTGTTTTCTTCAGCGTCATTCCAAAAACTGGTTTCGAACGTGAGATGCAGGTTAAAATGTCTGAATGTCACAAATAATAATACTGTGTATCAGCTTAGGTTAATCTGGGATATTGGTTTTCAATTTAGAACAGAAGCGAAGTAAGGTGTGTACCCAAATTCCACTTTCTATATGTGTCTATGTGGCTTACCGTGTTCGTTTTAATTGGGCTATGGGCTGGGCAACCAGGGTTTGATTCCCGGCAAGGGGAAGACGTTTCTCTCTTATTCACAGCTTCCGGACCAGCTCAGGGGTCCATCCAGCCTTCTATTCAATGGATGTTGGAGGTTCTTTCCACGGGGTAAAATGGCCGGGGAGTAAAGCTAAAACCTCCATCTAGTGCCATGGTTTAGAATGCTCTTTGTCTTTATTTCCATATTAGTAAGCCTCTTTTCAGACATACACCCCCCTCCACCTATTCACTTCATAGCACAGCCGCTGGAGCCTTCTTCCAACTTTCCATACTCATACCATCTTATCCAAGGTCTTCCTTGGTCTCAGGCTTCTTTTGATTTACTTGCTTACTCTAGAATTTGTTTCGATATTAACGGTAGTTTTCTGGGATCCGCCGCTATAGCGATGGTCTGCGGACTGGACATCCGGGTTTCGATTCCCGGTAGGAGAATGGGATTTTTCTCTACTCCACATTGTCTAGATCGGCCCTGGGGCCAACCCAGCCTCCTTTCCAATGGGTACCGGAGGCTCTTTCTACGGGTGTAAAGCGCCCAGAGTTTCAAGCTGACCAAAACAAAAACTCCGTGGTCTGTAGTCCGCAAGCGAACTATACCGACCGAGCGACTGCCGCTTATAGTGCCAACTTTAGCGGATAGAGGGTGTCGCGTGGTCAGCGCAAAGGTTCTCCACGGCCGTAAGCTGACCACTCACCTCTCTATCTAGTGCCGAGGTCAAGAATGATGGAGCTATACCTCCGCTCCCCATACGTCTTCATGGCGTGGTGCTTAATTAGTTAAGCATAACGACAATTTTACTTTTCTTATATTCTGGGATGTGACACCTTGTAACCTACCAGAAGTTTACCGACGTTTCGGACGAACTTGCTGTATCCATCCTCAGACTCGAAGTGGGAACCGACCAAATGTTGCTTGCATTTAGGTTCGTCCGTACCTTTAGTACCTATTTACCAAACTACACGTCGTCACTCCCACAAGACCGTACCTACAAACTCAATGACATGAGAACAGGTTACCCTTATTCCAGAGGTGCTTGGTTCCAGTCTCGGCTTGGACACAGGCTGTCCTGTCTAAGGCTTTTGTTGATTTTTCTCAGGCCAAGAAGACAAACGCCAGGTTAGTACCTCCGTAGGCTACAACCACTTCCTTCCTAGTCCTTTGCAGTTCATCATTCATCAGCCGTTATAGTAGCCGACATCTTAAAGTTGAACATTTCATCCCCCGATTCAGCAGGTAACTACGGGCTCGCCTGGAGTTTAAGCAACCCGCGTATCTAAACATCGGACGCAGAGGAAATGTCAGCGCAAGAGTGGACTTACGTGATAACTCCAGCTTCCCGCGCTCAAAGTCCTCCCTTCACAGAGTCCCTATACAGAACTGACTTTGTCGCCCAAGTTGTCTTCAAGATAACGCATCGACACGGACCACGTAGAAATACCCCGTTTTCAGCAGTACCTATATTGTTGCGCGTCGATTCGTTGCTGCGGGAACGTGTTTGCCGAGCCGTTGCCTGGAAACGTCTCTGGTACATTGGCATATTTCTCGGTCGTCGCATAGTAACGGCTCTACGCGTTACAATACAAAATCTCTGCATTGTGCCCACACAGTGTGGCTGTGTGTTCCGTACGGTTCTCACAATAAACAGTGACTGTTTCCCTAAACAGCATTAACCGGTTGGGCTCTGTAGCGTAGACGTAATGTGTTTCCTGTGAGGTACGGACTGAATTTATATATATTACAGAACTGGGAATCCTGCCCACGGAGAGTATTTGTGTTCCATATGGTTATCACAATAAACAGCTATTATTTCCCTGCACAACATTAAACGTTGCTTGCTACTTGCTTTCACGCTGGTATCTTGCTTGTCTTATTCGAACCTGAAGATGGGGGCGATATTTTCCTCCTAAACGTCGGTTGACTTTCAACGGAATACACGACGTTATACCCCAAAAGACAGTACTCTTAATAACCACCGCTGGGAGAACTTCAAAAGCTACAACATTAACATTGCCAGTATACCAACCCGCTAACGAAACGATTGAAGAAGTCTGTTTTGTAACATCCGTAACACGGAACAGCGGGGCCAGTGCTGTATTATGATGAATATGCTTTGATATTGGTACCGAAAGGAACCACTGCTCAAGCGGAGAATGGCTACTTCTAAAATTTAAGAAGTTGTTACTGTAAAAAGAAGTAAAGTAAAGGTATCCCGGTAACAGGCCACGGAGGCACATAGGTTTGTGAGATGTTGAGGTTCCCACATTTTCTAGACAATCGGCTTATAGGTGGCGGTAAGGTTGTCAGCCCTACGCGCCGGCCGCCCTTTACCCACAAGAACATTCAAAGAATGTTCTTGGTACTCGTTTTTGTTAGAGGCTGAGTAGACCCCAGGGCCATAGTGCGGCTGGAAGGAGTACGTAATTGAAAAAAATCCAACGACCTCATCGGGATTCGAGCCCGCGACCTTCCGGCTTGTAGCATAGTGCCTCAACCAACTAACTGTGCTTAATTATTTAAGCAACACCCCATGAAGATATTTTGGGTGGGAGTCTATGTATAAAAAAGGTAAAGCTATCCCTGTAACAGGCCGTGGAGGCCCATAGGTTTGTGAGATGTTGAGGATCCCACATTTTCTAGACATACAGCTCACGGCGGTGAGGTTGTCTGCCTTACGCGCTGCCCGGCCGGCCTCCCTTTAACCCCATGAAGATTCCTGATACTCATTTCTGTCAGAGGCTAAGTGGACCCCATGGCCATAGTGAGGCTGGAAGGATTAGGCGCAGTGAAAAATCCAGTGACTTCATCGGGAATCGAACCCTGACCTTCTGGGTTGTAGCATAGTGCCTCAACTAACTACGCCACCGCGCCACCGTTTTACCGCCGATGAAAAAGGGTCTGGTTCCGATTTGCCAAATGAAGCTTTTGTTGGTCCCACAGCCAGTCTGGACGCTGTGGAGAACCCCTGCCGAGAGGCTAGCCTCGGGCACCCATCTCGCGGCTGTACCGCCTGAGTATCGGTCCATATTGGACGTTTGTGCTCTGCCTGTCCTTTGCATCTGAGTTAGGGTAAATCCGTCCTCCGTGGCATGCGGGGTGAAGCAACCAGTTCCTTTCGGAAACTTCTGAACATTCTGGGATGACGTGGAAGAAGTTCTGTTGTGACGCACACGTCGAGTTTTCGCCAGTTTAACTTTCTTCTCATGTTGCTTGCTCTGTCCGCTCACATGACACGGATTTTCTCTTCATCTCGGGGCCGCCTCTCAAGATCGTGTTTGTGTCAGTACTCAGTTCTGCTACCCATCAATACGACGTCACACTCGGACCCTGAAGGACCTCGGTCAATTCCGAGATCGAGTTTCCTGATTCTTGTTGATCCCTTTGTGTACACTGGCCTCGCTATGGACCGATCTCCTATCCAGGGAGCCCAAACAGATTCATTGCTTCTCCTCGCGCTATGGTTCTCTTATCGCGCATTAGGAATTCTCGGATTCGTACCTCGGCCTGGCTATTCTTATCGAGGATTTTCGTGATATTCCTCAGGCTGGTCAGGTAATGCTGGGATAGTAATTCAAGCTATGTCGCAGTCGTCTCTTTCCATATTGATGTCACGGGAAAAGTGAGAGAAAATTTATTGTGGGGAGGGCAAAAGAGCATCTTTTTGATAGAAGGTTCCCAGACTTCACCCGCTCGTCTTTTTGATGCGGGCAGTGTGAAAGTGAAGATGTTACGATGGTTACAAGCACAGGGGCCGCGGGATTTTAGGTTTCTGAACTGATGACAGTTCAACTAAAGATATTCAAGAATTCGGTTCCAACGGGCACAGAAATTACGCTGTGTGTTCTTTACAAGTGGCAGATCGGTGACGCTGTTTATCGTTGTTTATTGTGAGAACTATACGAGAGGCATAAACAGACTGTGTGGACAAAATGCAGAGAGTTCTAATCATAGAAGAGGTGGTAAATACTACAACCATTATACTTTAAATGGGTAATTGGTTACATTTTTATTTCCTATGATGTACAAAGGCAGCTTTATTCTATATTACCTCACGCATACGACTTTTAGATTCTGATGGGCTGGAAGTCTGGGAAATAGTTCTCTGTCACAAAGATGTGACGCCGTCTATACTTGTAAAACTTACCGACGTTTCACAGGCACATACAGCCTTCATCTTCAAGGTCAAAGATAGGCCAACCAAGCAACAAGCTCACCTTAGCTTCAGAAGCTGATAGTTTCTGAGATAGTCAAGAAATTATTCCCTTTTTGACGGACCCGAATATCCATTACTGTAAAGCGTAGGTTGTTCTCTTGATCGGCTTATTCTTCGACTCTGAAGATGGAGGCGATATGTTGCTCCGAAATATCGGTTGGCTTTCAACGCGGCTATAGGGCGCTATATTCCAGAAGACAGAGCTCTTCAAAAAATCTTGTAGGATTTGAGGTTCTCACAGAGGTGGTTGTGATGAGGTCTGTCGTCTGAGATATAACGCCGAAACGTCGGTTGACTTTCGACAGGGCTACACGGCGTTATATCCCAGAAGATAGAACTCTTCAAGAAAATGTCTTTCC